TCCTGCCGAAGCTGGTCGTAACCCGAAATGTTCGTTAGTAGAGGCGTTCGTATCCCGAGGTACCACTGTATATAATTCTGATGTAACCATTTATTGTTGTGGAAGCTGTGACCATAGAACTACTTACACATCCCCTCCACATGTGGTATTTGCCCCACTCCCTGATTAGCTCTGTATCTGGGTGATTAACTCTATACCTGGACAATCACATCCTGTTATTGCCCCTGGGCAGCACAGCCTATTAATTTCTAGCTCCGCAGTAGCACAGGAGACTTCGTTGCAAATGTTCTTCTGCAGCAGAAACCTGGGATTACAGGCAGGCAATTTCCAATTGTATAGCACCCTGCATTAAAACCAAAAGATTGATTCAACATATCACACCAAGCCATGATTTACTTAGTCATGTTTTGATGAATTAACTACAATGGGCTGGCTTCACACAACTGTAAACAGACCACATTATGGCTTGACGTAATTTGTGAACCCAGCCAGTGTCTTGTTAAATATGGATAAAGAATTCATTATGCACCCAATTTCATGTTCCTCTAGAGAAATCAGGATTGTTCTAGACTGATCAATGTTCTATGAAAATACTGTATTGTATGATTTAAAAAGCATTGTTCTATCTATCTATCTATCTATCTATCTATCTATCTATCTATCTATCTATCTATCTATCTATCTATCTATCTGTCTGTCAAGGGGTAAGCAACATTAGCAAAGCAAAGGGAAGAATGATTAGTGAGCTAAGCAATTAATGGCAAGAAGTAAGAGGAAAGAAAATCTAACTAAATCTAGTTTACAGCATTACCATTCACTATCCCTCTCCCTACTTTTTTTGTCTTACAAACATCCTTAGTTCCTCCATTTCCATATCCTAATTTGTACTTTGTTTTCTGTTTATTTAAACTTCTCATCTCTCTCTTTTTGAGAATCTCAACAGCCCTATCCAGCCACAAATTCTTGGTCTTCTCATTCCCATTGTCTGATTAACTCTTGCTTCATGTATTTCTTTTGTGAATTGATCCTCATTCATTCAATATGAGTACTTCGTTTGTATTGGCCACTCACTTTATTCAATCCACATTTTTGACTATATTTATTTATTTTTATTTATTTATATTTCAAATTTGTCACCGCCCATCTCACTGTGAGGTGACTCTGGATGGTTTACAGTAAAAATAGAATAAATATTGATTAAAATAAGTAAATATTAATTAAATAATTACAATATGTTCAAAACACACTTCCTTTATAATACATCCAAGGGGCAGATGTTAATTAGATGTTAATAAACTCAGGGCGCTTTGTCAAGGTGCCACTCATCCCCAGGGTCGATTGTATCTTTCCTCGCCCCAGGCAAGTTGGCACAGCCAAGTCTTCAATTCCCTCTGAAAAACTGGGAGGGTCGGGGCCTGCCTCACCTCTGGGGGGAGAGTATTCCATAGGGCGGGGGCAATGGCAGAGAAGGCTCTCCTCCTAGGACCTGCCAGTCAACATTCTCTCGCTGACGGGATTCATAACATACCTTCTCTGCCAGACCAGGTGGGATGGGTTGATGTAATGGGGGTAAGACTGTCCCTCAGGTAGCATGGACCCATGCCATGTAGGGCTTTAAAGGTGATAACCAACACCTTGAATTGGACCTGGAAACAAACCGGAACCCAATGCAGCTCCCACAGCAAAGATGTTACATGTGCCCTCCTTGGAGCACCCATGATTACCTGCGCGGCCACATTTTGAACTAGCTATAGCTTTTGGATACTCTTCAAGGGTAGCTCCATGTAGAGCACATTGCAATAATCTAAATGAGAGATGACCAGGGCATGAGTGACAGATCAGAAGGACTCCTGTTCCAGGAAGGGGTGTAACTGACGCACAACACGAGGTTGCACAAAGGCTATCATGGCCACGACTGCCGCCTGCTCCTTGAGCAGGAGTCATGAGTCCAGGAGGACCCCCAGATTACACACTGGGTCTGTCTGGGGCAGTGCAACCCCATTGAGAACCAAAGATGATAAACCCCCAGATACAGAGGGGCCTCCAATCCACAGCCACTCCATCTTACCAGGATTCAGTTGAAACCTGTTGTTCCCCATCCAGACCCCCACAGCCTCCGGGCACCGTGAAAGGGTGGTCACAGCATCACTCAAATCACCCAGGATGGTGATGTATAATTGCGTATCATCTGCATCCTGATGATACCTCATCCCAGGGTGGCGGATGATCTCACCCAGTGGTTTCATGTAGATGTTAAACAGGAGCATACCCCACAACAGAGGGGCTGTGGGCTGGACCTCTCACTCCCAATCAACACTGATTGGTACTGACCCTGGAGGAAGGAAGTGAACCAGCACAAAACTGTGCTGCCCATGCCCAACTCCCTAAGTTGGCCCAAAAGGATACTATGGTCGATGGTATCGAAACCCGCTGAGTTTAATCCACTGTCTTCTCAGGCTCCATGGGAAGGCCACAAGCAGCATTTATTTGCAGTAGCATCCTGAATACTCATGCACTATAAACCACTGTGGCTATTAATGATTGTTAGACTCATCCTTTATGAAGACTACTTTTTCTTTCTTCTTAGAAGTACATCATTATCATTGTGATATTAGTCCTTGAAGCCATTAAACTGAAAACTACCACTTTTATATGCCTGAGTAAGCAATGGTTATAAGTTAATAATAGTTATGAAGTAACACAATCCAAGTGTATTTTTATGTAAACAGTTATGGCCACGTGTAGATTTCAAAACAAACCATGGTTTATCACAATTGGATAAAGAGTCCCATGACCAATCCTTGGTCTCCCATTCTCTTCCTACTGTATTCTTACCCTCTTATTATAGCTTTAAGGAACAGCATGAAAGCTTTCCCTTCCATAAAATCATACTGAGTATCCAAAGTGTAGTGCACCTTAATGTTGACATAAACCAAGTGCATGACTAATTAAATATTTATTTATTTATATTTATTTTATTTTTCAAATTTTTATGCTGCCCATCTCCCCCAATGGGTGACTCTGGGCGGCTCACAATAATAATAAAAAACAAAGGA